TTCCAGTACCAACATCGAAATCCAATCTGAGTTTGGATGATTTATCGACACAACACCCAGTAAGACGCTATACACACAGTTTCCACATCTCTGGACAGCGAAAACGCTCAATTTGTAATTCCTCTTTCAAAGCAATACATTGTTACATTTTGAGTCCGGATTACCTGCCAAAAAAAGATGTCTATGTGCAGATTATGTGTAGCATCATAAGAATGGGACCCACCATAATATGTGTTGGAAGGGAATTTTGTTGGCAGGAGATTCCGACACTAAGGTTTTTAACCCATCTGGCTAAAATGTATGAATGGCCTTCCACTGTCTTACTGTAGCCGCACATTGACTTTATTTATTTTCTGGTTTCAAGCTAACGTGACGCAGCGTGGATGCAATGAGAATCGGAGCTGGCTATGCAAGCATCGGGCGTTCGCTAGCACCTAGTGAAAACACCGATTTCTCTAGAAGAGAGAAAAAGGTGGTGAAAATAGGATGAAGAGAATTTGAAGAAATTCTGAAAATCTGAAATATGAATAACTTTGGGTAAATAGCAGTATTTATAATACATTTGGAAATTGTAAAAGAACTAGGAAAGAACATGTCTTGATTTTGATCTTGATCCTCTTGGGCTGTTTTGATAAGGTCGAACCCTCTTGGAATTCTTGGGCTTGATCTTCCACCGTCCGATCTCCCTAGCTCTCCTTATGCATGAATCTGGGAGTATTGGATTTCTTGATGCTTCTTGGAGTGTTTGTTGGATTTTGATTGGAGTCTTGAGTTCTTGCTAATCTTGAAAGAGTCTTGATAAGTCTTGGAGTCTTGGATTAAGTCTTGATGGATCTTGAATTATCCTTTCTTGACTTATCTTGGACTCTTGACCTTATCCTAGGAGCTGCCGCCCCTAGGAGTGAGATGGGCCTTGGGATGGGYCTCCATCATTCTCCCCCACTTGGAGAGAACCCGACCCCGAGTCGTGACGAGGATAGGCAAGTGTTATCTCTGGCAGGTACCGGTGAGGGTCAGCAACGTTGAAGGTCTTGGATATACCCATATGATCTCTGGCAGGTACCGGTGAAGGTCAGCAACGTGTACCTTCTTTTTCAAATTGGTAGGTATTCTTCCTACCCATGTGCCTTGCATCTGTATCAAATTGCGAAGGCCTCCATAACAAAATGTGGCAAGCATCCATATCTACAATATCACAATATGCTTCATCATGGTACTTACCAATTGAAAAAGGTACMTTGCAGCGTTCTTCCACTCGTACGTCGCCTCCTTCCTTGATCCACCCAATTGTGTATGGGTTGGGATGTTTTTCAGGAATCAGCTGTAACTGTTGGATGACATCCC